GGGTTGCGCCTCAGCTCTGCTGCCTTTCATTCGACTCCCGCCCTCAGCTTGTATGTTGACACTGGCTTCCTATCTCTCCGGGACTGCCGTGTTCGCTACTGTCTTCGCTATCTTGCCTTCAGGATTCTCTTTCGGTTCGTATTTCTAATATTTCTCCTCGTATTGTTCCTTCCTTGCCCCTGTGGCAAGTCCCCCCTTCCAAAATTTTGTTCCTCCTTGACCTGCAGTATTAAAGCTTTTACCCCTCCTATGGTTCTGAAATGCCTTTTTCTTTAGTACTTTTCTTTACACTCTCACTCCATTTCCATCTTCACTGATGGGTCTAAGTCTGCAGATGGTGTAAGCTACTCTGTTGTTTTTCCTGACTGCACTATATGTGTCGCCTACCTCCGGAGATTAGCATCTTCACAGCAGAACTTATGCTATTCTCTATGCTCTTCGTCTCCTGCTTTCTCGTTGTCAATCTTTCTTTGTGGTTGGTGTTGACTCTCGTAGTGCCCTCATGGCTCTCGGGTCCTTCAATCTGGTCCATCCCGTGGTCGTTGAGATTCAACATTGGCTGTTTCTTATTTCCAGTAAATTTAAGTCAGTTGAGTTTTGCTGGCTTCCCAGCCATATTGGTGTTTCTTTAAATGAGCGTGTGGATGCTGCCGCTAGGGAAGCTGTCCGCTCTTGTCCCATCTCCCGTAAAGGTATTCTTTATTCCAACTTTTCCCCAGTTATTCATTCCTCCATCCTTACCCATTGGCAGGATTGTTGGTCTTCTGTTACTGGCAACAAATTGCGTATCCTTAAGGGTAGTGTGTCCTCATGGCTTTCCTCCTACCACCATAACCGGCGATGGGAAACGGCTCTGACAAGGTTGCGTATTGGCCATACACGCTTATATAACAATCACTTAATGGAGCGCTGCTCTGCTCCTTATTGTCCAAATTTATTGTCCCTCTTACAGTCATGCATATCCTTGTTGAATGTCTCGACTTCCAGGACGAGCGTATGTCTTGCTTTCCGACCATCCCTCGCGGTCGCTTGTCCCTCGATAGAATTCTTGGCGAATCGGATACTTTTGATATCGTTCACTTTATGCGTTTGTTCTCGTATTGGCATCCTTGGTAATATTTAGCGCCCTCTGATTATTCCGCACATTCAATGGTGCTACATAGCCTTCCAGGTTTGGTGCCTTCCTTTGATAATTACTTACTTACTGGGGCCTTCTATGTCGATTGAGTTCTTTCTCATCATGCCTATTGCACCTCTGCTTTTCAGTGGGGCTATTTTGCACATCCTACTATGCCTTCTGGTTTTGTGTGATGTTATTTCTGTGTGCAGTTTTGGAACAAATCCTTCTAGAATTTCCAAGTGTAAATTATTATGTAGCTCTCCCACCCGCACTCTAGGGAGTACAGATTTAACATTTTTAATTAGTCCCAATAATTTATATAATTTATAGTGAATTTTAGCAGCAAAAATTTTTTGCATGCTCTCCAGGTCAGCAATTTCTCCAGCTTTGAATGGTGCTGTTAGTGTGCAACAATATTCCACTCTAGAGTGCACTGTCTTTAAGAGTATCATCATTGGTGTGGCATCTCTTGTTTGAAAGGTTTATGTTATCGAACCTTTCATTTTTCTTGCAGCTGTGGTATCTAACTTTGTCATGTTCTTTAAATGTAATGAAATTCCTTTTTCTGGTGGTTCCATGGGACTGGCCCTACTCCTGGTCAGGGGATTTAATTTTCCATCTTTGTGGCTATATGACTGAGGTGATAAAGTTGGTTGATCAAGTAGGAAAGTGTGCAATCCCCAGATGTTGTGCAGGTGGAACAAATGTGACAATTGCAGATGATGAGTCACAATAACATGGCTGAAGATATGATGACCAAACCACACATCAGAAGAGGAAGAAACGACCACGTTTTGGTCCGACCTGGACTCATACACAACTTGATAATGGTCCATGACGGACCAAAATGACATTGTTTCTTCATCTTCTGAGGTGTAGTTTGGTCATCAATGTGACTTCATCAATTGCTTCACCACCAAGTACCTTGTGAAACTCAGGGTGTTGCTATCCTGTTTTCTGTGGTTTGTTTTCCTTGCTGTTTTCTGTTACAATTTGCCCACCTTCCTGGAGGTCTTTTCTTGGTTAGGGTGATCTTTGATCCCTTGCTCCTTGTTCCTCTATAGAGGGGGAGCCAGATTTTGGCCTATGGTCCCAGGTTCGCTTGTATATTTACCTGAATTTACCTGAGGGCTACTAACACTAGTGGCCTCGATGAGGACAGAAAGCCGGCAGCTTATTGAAGGACCCCCCATTTGCCTATGGGGGGGGGACCCATAGGGGACCTATATGCCTATATGCCCTGTACTGAATATGTCTTACATATTACAATCCTGGTATGGATTGAATTGGATGGAACCTGCCAGGTAGCAAGCACCAGGGATCCACCAGAAAGAGGTATTTCACTACATTTAGTGATGGTTTTTTTAAGGTCCAGGTGGAAGCAGTAGGTCCGTCCCACTTTTGCAGGATGTCTGTGGCTCCATTGTAAAAGCTATGATGATTTGTCACACAGAACTTTCCCATTTGTAAACCATACTGTCTGTTCCTCATTATCTCATTACTTTCCTGATATTCTACCCATTTCATTTTAATTATTTTTCTAGTGATTTGACTACTACACTTCTCAATGATACAGGTCTAAAATTTAGAAAACTTTCTCTGTTTCCATTTTTATAGATTTTAACTGTTTGCCTTTTTCCATTTGTGAATGGTTCTATTGGGAACATAATGTGTTGGAGCACTGATGTTGGAGGTACATTGTCTTAGAGCCCAAGACCCAAGACAAGACTCCATCTGGCACTACTACTTTGTTTCTCTATAATTCCTTGAGCAGTTTTATAACAGCATCTCTAGACACTTTTAGGTTTACTCTGAAATTATTTAAGTGTTGTTACAGGATGAGAGCGATACTCGTGGTGTGGATACTCGTGGTCATCTTCCCAGTACTCCTTGCCATATTACACTTTGAAACTACTGCACTGAGGGTTTTGGCATCCATTGCTGTCTCACTTGTTCCATCTACAACTCTGTTTGCAAAAGAAAGATCCCTTATATTTGTGGCATGTTTGTTTCTTAACTTGAATCTATGGCCCTATTGTTCTTGAAATTGCAGGTTTAAAAAATACTGTACCTTTTTATTTCATTTGTCGATTCCTGTTAAAATCCTGTTAATATTTTGTATGTAATCCTCATTTCAGGTCTCTTTCTCCTGTTTTCTAGCTTTGGCATGTTTATGTGTGAGTGTAATTAGCTTGAGTGGTTACAGGGTGAGAGCTGCGCTTGTTGTGTTCCGTCTTCTCCATATTCTTTGTCGTACGATGCTTTGAAACTGCTTATAGTTTTGGCATCCAACACTCTCGAACACTATATGTGTGCGAGAGTGAGCGAGAAAGTGTGAATGTGAGTACTTGCCTACAAAACAAATCATACCCTTTCTGTCGAGTGTGTTACTTTAAAAGTTGCATACCAGGGATGGAGTTTGTTGCCAATATTTGATCAGTGGTATTGCTGAATGCTAAAGTTTATCATCACTAGACACCACACCCAACCCACACATCCGAAAATATATGAAGTAACGACATTTTGGTCAATATTGAACCATTAGCAAGTCGACTTGGTAATAGTCCAGGGTGAACTGAAATGTAGTCATTTTCTTTATTTTCAGATGCATGGGTTGGTTGTCTTAATTTGTGGCCATGTCATTGTGACTTTCTTCCTGCTTATCATATCTATATGATTTCCTTTACTCGTGTTACTGCTCTTGTACTGTATGGTATGACCTTATGTAACACAATTTTTTCCCTGGGTAGTAAATGTTATTTTCCAATTGCTTATGCCTCCAAAGTATAGAAAAATGGCTATTATTTTCCCTCAGACATTTGCTTTGACCAGACAGCTTAGCAAAGACATCTTGAAGGCTGGCAACTCCTTATCTACTGCCGGGACAATCTGTCGGTTCTAAATAAGGAGTCGGCATCCTTTAGGTACTATCAAGATGTCTTCCCAAAGCAGTGTGAAGCAAAAGTCAGAGCAAAGTTTGGGAGGAATAATAGCCATTTTGTATACTTTGTAGGCATTAGCAATTAGAAAAATACTACTACTCAGGAGAAAAAAAAAGTCGATGTTAGATGAAATTTTTGGTTTCTAATATTTTAATCTCATATCACAGGTTTTTACAGTCACTAGTAGAACAATGCAGCTAGAAAAATAATCATCTCAATTTCATGAGTGTTATTATTTTTCTGGATGTTGGTGTATCATTAATTATTCATCATCAGATCTTAAAAAGCATTTACAAGCTAAAAAAATTATCCTCAATATTACCTCAAAACACTTAAATAAAACATGGCAATAAATTATATAGGTTAATAATTTTGACAATTCCTCCAAAATGGTGGCCATACAAATTCATAATTCCAAGATGTGATTATTATACATTAACCAGTTAATCATTGATAAAATAACCATCAATTTAACTACATAAACCAAATAATGCCAATTCATAGCCTAAGCATCCTGAATGATATATTAGTGAACACTTGAATATACTGTGCCTTCTTTTGTTAATTATTTACACAAGTCTTAGGCAATGTATCAATCTAGTTTTCAATGAAACCAGTACAGAAAATATATATCACAACTTCATCTTCCTAGCATTAAATTTTATGGACACTATTTAGGAGAAAATGTCCAGTTTAATTATTTCAATAATTAATTTATATTTTATTGATTTTACTGATTTGTGGTATTATTTTGCTGTATTATCTATTGAGAAGTGATGCTTGACACAGATATGTAATTAAACCAATCTTGACATTGCAAATATAGATTTCAAATATAGATTTCCCACTGCATTGTTCCTACTACTGTATTTGTAATGAAACTCATTTTCCTGCATGAAAGTTCAATTGTGGACACTACATTTTGTTTATTTATACAGGTCGAAGTAAACGTAAAATACTGCAGCGACAGCTTGGCATCACAGGAGGCGAGGATAGGAGAGAAGAAAATAGAGATCCCTTGCAGATTCACCAAACACAACCTCAAAAAATGCATCATCAAGTACACGAATTTACGAAAAGTGACATGAAGGTGGAATTTAAGGGAGATGGAGAAAAAATTACAGAACTAATTGTGCCAGATACCATGGCATTGGGTGGGGGTACAGTGACACTCAGTACATCTCAACCAACACTTCTTCAAGTGCCAGCCATGATGGTGGTTCCCAGAGACACTCTTGGGCCTGGCCCATTGCCAAAGCAACATTCACACCCTACACCTCTTTTAGCACCAACACCCATTATCAGTAAACAGTTATCACATCCAGAGGGCCGTGGTCCTCCAACTCATCAGGGGCCTCCACCCATGACCAAGCAACGATCACACCCAAGTGTGCTGACACATACTCCACCACACACATTAGAGCGTGTCTCAAGCACCACCAACATTACCACCACTACTACCACCACAGGAACTCAACAGCATTTACAGGTAATACCAATGCAGGTCTTTGTGAAACAGCGACCTTCACCCACTACAATAACATCTCAGTCGTCACAACTTCGACCCATTCAGCCTAAACCCTCCACTGTTGATAGTCAAATCTCAGACTCTACCCCTAAAAAAGATGTACCTTTAATACGCCTCACACCTTCAGAAGATGGTGGAAATGTTAATATTAGTAGCAGTAGCGGTTACAACATGAGTGGTTGTGGCATGACTGGTCCCCCACGATTACCTCGTGCAGTGAGTGAGGAGCCAGCCATGACCAGACCCTCAATGACTCACACTCCTGAGCTGCTATCACCTGGACCATCTGTTTTAGTGCAGAGTGTATCTCAAGATTCAGGTTTAGATGTAGGCATGGGAAGTCGCATGTTGAGTGCGCCGTCATTAGCAGTGACAGCTCCTATGCCAGATAGATCTGCATCTTCTCCTGGTCACTGTCCCGTCCTTCGTGGTGGCCCAGCTTTGGGCTGCAACTTCTGTTGGAATTCTACTGATCCCCAAGGCAGAGTACTCCGCCGCAAGACAAAATATCACTGTCCAGAGTGCAGAACCAACCTGTGCATTGTACCTTGCTTTCACGAATACCACAAACAAATGGAAAGAGCGCAAGACACTGACAAACAAATAACCAAGATCCTCACTAAAACTGGGTCTATGTAGTCTGAATGTTGAGACAGGCTGGCAAAAATGTTCAGTGTCAGAGAATATTTTTAAAGAAAATATGTTGCCAGAAAAGTTAGAAAATTAGAACAAAGATTGTGGTAGGTAGCAATGTTATTATAGGTAACTGCCGTGTGCAGTGATCCTTGTGCTCAGTTATTGATGTAGGTTTTGAAAACTAAGTCACTTGATTTTCACTTTCAATTATTTGATGTCTCTTGCTTTCACTAATGACTACAAATAAGCACTCATCAGACATGAGTTTATTTGGACAAAATTCAAGTGTATTATTTTCAAACTTTGTATTTCATCTGACATAACACCAGTGATTAAGGAATTGTATTTCCCTGTGGAAATGTAATATGTTTATTTAAGTATGTATTGTTCATTGTATAAAAAGATATTTAACGATGCACTGCTGAAATTTTTGTGTTAATTATTTTATGGAAAAGTAAATGTCTTTGAAAACAGTCTATTCTTAAATAAAACCAAGTGTCAAATTCTCAACTAATTTCTGAAGCTTTTCATCCAGTTTGAGCTGGAATGATAAATATTTTTTGTTTGGCTTCTAAAACTCCATTGAACAGATGGAATCTGTGGAGAGTTTTGAGTATGTATGAATTTGGTGAATGTTAATATACCTTGTTACATCCTTTCACCCTGTAAGTAGGGTATTTGTGAAGAATTAATGGTGTAATGAGTGACTGGTTTGATCACTCGAACCAATCACATATTAAACTGGGAGCACGCCCAAGTTGGGTCACATCTCCGTTGTTTATTTCATAGCATCATGAGGAAGATCACTGTAATAATACCAGTAGCAGAAAAAGGTGCAAAATTTATACTGTATATCATAGAAATAAATTATCATGTGCAGATAATGCAGATCAAATAATGGGTAATGATAGGGATATAGTGTATGTACTGTACATTATTTAAAAGTTTTGTTGATATGCATAAAAGTAACTGCTAAAAGCAAGGTGAGAATCCTAAGAGAGCCGAGAGGAGGAGGAGGAGGTCTCATACACTCCATCCAGCCCACGCTTCCAACCTTGTTATTGTTGTTGTTGTGGCATGTGTTCTAACCTCTACACTACACTTTTCTACTCCTTTTAAAATCACAAAGAATAATGAAAACATTAGAAAACATTAAAATATAGCCTAATTAAAAAAATAGCACAACTCTGAAAGCGCCTAAAGGTGCTTTGTGCAGTGCAGATGTTAAGTGAATACAGTACTGAACAAATGTCAAGTAATAGAGCTCAGACAAAAGGAAACTTGAGTTAGATAGTAAGAGCTCTAGAAATTGTCAGTTGGTTTAATGATAAAGTAATTTGATTTGTTGGGAACAGGAAGCCTGTATGTATATGTAATTACCTAAGTGTAGTTACAGGATGAGAGCTACACTCGTGGTGCCCCGTCTTCCCAACACTCTTTGTCATATAATGCTTTGAAACTACTGATGGTCTTGGCCTCCACCACCTTCTCACCTAACTTGTTCCAACTGTCTACCACTCTATTTGCGAAAGTGAATTTTCTTATATTTCTTCGGCATCTGTGTTTAGCTAGTTTAAATCTATGACCTCTTGTTCTTGAAGTTCCAGGTCTCAGGAAATCTTCTCTATCGATTTTATCAATTCCTGTTATTATTTTGTACGTAGTGATCATATCACCTCATTTTCTTCTGTCTTCTAGTTTTGGCATATTTAATGCATCTAACCTCTCCTCGTAGCTCTTGCCCTTCAGTTCTGGAAGCCACTTAGTAGCATGTCTTTACACCTTTTCCAGTTTGTTGATGTGCTTCTTAAGATATGGGCACCACACAACCGCTGCATATTCTAGCTTTGGCCTAACAAAAGTCATGAACAATTTCTTTAGCATATCGCCATCCATGTATTTAAAAGCAATTCTGAAGGTAGAGAGTGTGGCATAGGCTCCTCGCACAACGTTCTTTATGGGGTCCTCAGGTGATAGTTTTCCATCTAGAATCACCCCTAATCTCTTTCATTATCAGAATTCTTTAAAGATTTCTCACATAATATATAGGTTGCGTAAGGTCTATGTTCTCCTATTCCACATTCCATAACATGGCATTTATTAACATTAAATTCCATTTGCCAAGTGGTGCTCCATATACTTATTTTGTCCAGGTCATTTGGAAGGGCATGACAATCATCTAAGTTTCTTATCCTTCCTATTATCTTAGCATCATCAGCAAACACATTCATATAATTCTGTATACCAATTGGTAGATCATTTATGTAGACAATAAACATCAGTGTGTGTATGTGTGTACTCACCTAGTTGTACTCACCTAGTTGTGTTTGCGGGGGTTGAGCTCTGGCTCTTTGGTCCCGCCTCTCAACCGTCAATCAACAGGTGTACAGATTCCTGAGCCTATCGGGCTCTGTCATATCTACACTTGAAACTGTGTATGGAGTCAGCCTCCACCACATCACTTCCTAATGCATTCCATTTGTCAACCACTCTGACACTAAAAAAGTTCTTTCTAATATCTCTGTGGCTCATTTGGGCACTCAGTTTCCACCTGTGTCCCCTAGTACGTGTGCCCCTTGTGTTAAATAGACTGTCTTTATCTACCCTATCAATCCCCTTCAGAATCTTGAATGTGGTGATCATGTCCCCCCTAACTCTTCTGTCTTCCAGCGAAGTGAGGTTTAATTCCCGTAGTCTCTCCTCGTAGCTCATACCTCTCAGCTCGGGTACTAGTCTGGTGGCAAACCTTTGAACCTTTTCCAGTTTAGTCTTATCCTTGACTAGATATGGACTCCATGCTGGGGCTGCATACTCCAGGATTGGCCTGACATATGTGGTATACAAAGTTCTGAATGATTCTTTACACAAGTTTCTGAATGCCGTTCGTATGTTGGCCAGCCTGGCATATGCCGCTGATGTTATCCGCTTGATATGTGCTGCAGGAGACAGGTCTGGCGTGATATCAACCCCCAAGTCTTTTTCCTTCTCTGACTCCTGAAGAATTTCCTCTCCCAGATGATACCTTGTATCTGGCCTCCTGCTCCCTACACCTATCTTCATTACATTACATTTGGTTGGGTTAAACTCTAACAACCATTTGTTCGACCATTCCTTCAGCTTGTCTAGGTCTTCTTGAAGCCTCAAACAGTCCTCTTCTGTTTTAATCCTTCTCATAATTTTAGCATCGTCCGCAAACATTGAGAGAAATGAATCGATACCCTCCGGGAGATCATTTACATATATCAGAAACAAGATAGGACCGAGTACAGAGCCCTGTGGGACTCCACTGGTGACTTCACGCCAATCGGAGGTCTCACCCCTCACCGTAACTCTCTGCTTCCTATTGCTTAGATACTCCCTTATCCACTGGAGCACCTTACCAGCTACACCTGCCTGTCTCTCCAGCTTATGTACCAGCCTCTTATGCGGTACTGTGTCAAAGGCTTTCCGACAATCCAAGAAAATGCAGTCCGCCCAGCCCTCTCTTTCTTGCTTAATCTGTGTCACCTGATCGTAGAATTCTATCAAGCCTGTAAGGCAAGATTTACCCTCCCTGAATCCATGTTGGCGATTTGTCACGAAGTCCCTTCTCTCCAGATGTGTTACCAGGTTTTTTCTCACGATCTTCTCCATCACCTTGCATGGTATACAAGTCAAGGACACTGGCCTGTAGTTCAGTGCCTCTTGTCTGTCGCCCTTTTTGTATATTGGGACCACATTCGCCGTCTTCCATATTTCTGGTAGGTCTCCCGTCTCTAGTGACTTACTATACACTATGGAGAGTGGCAGGCAAAGTGCCTCTGCACACTCTTTCAGTACCCATGGTGAGATCCCATCTGGACCAACAGCCTTTCTAACATCCAGATCCAGCAGGTGTCTCTTGACCTCCTCTCTCGTAATTTCGAACTCCTCCAAGGCCGCCTGGTTTACCTCCCTTTCTCCTAACACAGTGACCTCACCCTGTTCTATTGTGAAGACCTCCTGGAACCTCTTGTTGAGTTCCTCACACACCTCTCTGTCATTCTCTGTATACCTGTCCTCGCCTGTTCTAAGTTTCAATACCTGTTCTTTCACTGTTGTTTTCCTTCTGATGTGACTGTGGAGTAGCTTTGGTTCGGTCTTGGCTTTGTTTGCTATATCATTTTCAAAATTTTTCTCTGCTTCTCTTCTCACCCTGACGTACTCATTCCTGGTTCTCTGGTATCTCTCTCTGCTTTCTGGTGTTCTGTTATTCCGGAAGTTCCTCCACGCCTTTTTGTTCAGTTTCTTCGCTTCCATACATGCCCTATTATACCATGGATTCTTCTGTTGCTTCTCGGATTTTTCCCTTTGGGCCGGGATGAACCTGTTTACTGCCTCCTGACACTTTTGGGTAACATAGTCCATCATACCCTGTACAGACTTGTCTCTGAGGTCTGTGTCCCAAGGTATTTCACTTAGGAAACTTCTCATCTGTTCATAATTCCCCTTTCGGTATGCCAGCCTTTTGATTCCTAGTTCTTTTTGGGGGGTGATAAGTCCTAGCTCTACCAGGTACTCAAAATTCAATACACTGTGGTCACTCATTCCCAAGGGCGCTTCCATCTTAACTTCCCTTATATCCCATTCATTTAGGGTAAATATCAAATCAAGCATTGCTGGTTCATCTTCTCCTCTCATTCTTGTTGGTTCTTTGGTGTGCTGGCTTAGAAAGTTTCTTGTTGCCACGTCCAGCAGCTTAGCTCTCCATGTTTCTGGTCCTCCATGCGGGTCTCTGTTCTTCCAATCTATCTTCCCATGGTTGAAGTCTCCCATAATTAGTAGTCCAGATCCATTCCTGCTAGCAACAGAAGCTGCTCTTTCTATTATGTTAATGGTGGCCATGTTGTTTCCATCATATTCCTGTCTAGGTCTTCTGTGTGTGTGTGTGTGTGTGTATTCTTTCAGCTTGTGTTGAATTCACTCCTACTGACCTTTCCCAGGATAAAACCTGGTTTGGATGCAACCCATAACAGTTGCCTAGCTCCTGGGTACCTCTTACGTTGTAAGTAAACCGAAGCATCAGCCGAAAGAAAACATGCTACTGAGGTACCGAGAATCCTTACATAGCCTAACCCGTACATCACTCCATTCACTATCTGCAATTTTTCTCATTTAATTTGTCGTGCACACCTCGATGTAGCACTTATAATTAACCGTGCCATTCAGAGGTAAATACTATGGCTTTGTGATAGATAAGATTTGTATATAGGTGAGGTAGAGAGAAGAGCATGTCAGGGCAAGGAAATTGTCTGATTCAGTGAAAGCTGTGGTTAGGAAGCATTAGTAAGTGTGGCTGCCAAAGAACTTCACGCGGAGTGGATACAGATGCGGAACACCAGTATGGTAAGAGCATGAGACATAAGGAGTTAGAACTAGAAATGGAGGATCCTACATTCATTTGTGGCGTTGAAATAATAGACAGAATATGGAATGATAATGACATGGAAAGATA